GTGAATGTGTGTGGAGGCAAGGGAAGGGCCACCCAGGATCTACTGTTGAAGGAACAGGCCTGGGGCTGGAGTATTCTCTTCCTGAAGGGTAGTGTGAGGTGGTGGTGGGGTATCGGCCACAGAGGAGCTCAGCCCAGTTTGACAGGATGTGGGACTGAGAGAAAAAGCTAGGTTTGGGGCAGAGATCAGGTTACCGGCGCTTTCTCAACTGCTCCCTGCCTGGTTGGTGCTGGGGCTGGCCCTCATTTGTCTCTTCTTTTGGGGCTCCTCCCAGCCCAGACTCTGGCCCCTTCCCCCTTCCCAACAGCCTTGACTTCATCTCAGCTCCAGAGCCCGCCCTCTCTTCCTGCAGCCTGGGAACTTCAGCCGGCTGCAGGTCAGCTCTCCTCCCCAGGGAAGGAGGAAGTGAGGGAAGCTTCAAAGGTGTGATGAACTGTGCAGATGCTCGTCCTTCACCAGCTAGGGGTGGGGGACACATGGAAGCTCGGGGAGCTGACTCCTTGCCCTGAGTCACAGGGAGGGGTGGGCAGGGCCCACGGATGAGCTGGACTGAGGGAGGAAGGGGCTGTTCCAGAGTGGGTGGAGGTGATTCCCTGGTGGATGCTTCTCAGTCGCTGTGCTGTGGTGGATGCGTGGCTCCCTACAGTGTGGTCATTGTCCCCTGCCGGGGGCTGAGTGACCCAGCGTTGCTGGCAGGCCCAGGGGGAAGGGGGAGGAAGGCAGGCTGCCCAAACTCGAGCTGTGGGCACTGCTGGGACTGAGCCTCCTTTGTATGACTTGGGGCTCTGGGGACCGGGCGGGGTGGGCCAGGGAAGCCGGCTGGCTGTCCTCTGTCTGGGTTTCCCTGCTTCTGCTCTCCTTCTCACCACTGAGGTGACATTTTGAAGAGGCACGGTTTTGAGTCACACCGTCCTGCTTTGAGTCACACAGTCCTGCTCTGGGTACTATCCCTGCCGCTTATAAGCCACGGCTCTGAATCTGTGTCTTAACCTCACTGAGCCTTAGTTTCCTAGTTTGTCAAAATGGAAAGTGCACCATCTACCTTTCAGGCATCTAGGGACGGAAGGAGATAATTTCTGCCAAAATGCCCGACAGGGTGCCTGGCACCTAGGGGCTCTATAACTATTCTTCCCTTACCTGCTCACCACCTGGTAGCTTGTTCTGCTACTCCATGGTCTTAGAGAGGGACTCCTCATTTGTGACTTGGCAGGTATGACTTGTGCTGAGGGACAGTCTGTTCTAGATTGGACCTTAGAGATTATTAAACGGTAAATGCATCAAAATCGTGGTAACAAATGAAGTCTGACTTGAAACCCTGATGTGTGAAGTAGATAGAAGATCGCCCCTGGATGTCCCGCATCCCTGAGCAGCTCTCTGGGCACCTGGAGTCCCCGGGCTGGCGAATGGATTAGATTGAAACTCATGTTTTCCAGCTCCCGAGTTGGGGTCATCCTCCACCTCCCATGGCTGTTTCCTTAACCCATCAAGGGACCCAGAGTTTGGGAATTTTTAAGCTCTGTTGCCCCCACAGTTGGTTCTTGGCGAGAACATGCCTGAGCAAGCCCCCTGACCCTTTGCTAGGTGCTTCAGTTTCCAGAGAGGTTGGAGTGGGGCCCTAGAGAAGTGTTTTTGGACTTAATGGCTGTTCCTCAAATCCCCAGTACCTCGTCTGGCAGCCCTACCATGGCTGCAATCCGAAAGAAGCTGGTGATCGTTGGGGATGGTGCCTGTGGGAAGACCTGCCTCCTCATCGTCTTCAGCAAGGATCAGTTTCCAGAGGTCTACGTCCCTACTGTCTTTGAGAACTATATTGCGGACATTGAAGTGGACGGCAAACAGGTGAAGGCAGAGCCCCTCCCGACCCCTCCTTGAGACCCCGCCCCCAGTCACTAATGACCTAGTGCGTCCTTCCCCACTCCTCCCCATGTCCTTGCTTCATTCTCCCTGCTGGAACCAGTAAACGTTAGGGAGTGAATCTGCAGTCTTAAAAAGCCAGGATATACTTTCTGGTTCTCCCTCAGACTGACTGGCTCTGTAACCTGGGCTGAGTCCCTTTGCCTCTGGGTTTAAGCTCCCCCGCCTGCAAAATGTGCAAAATGGGGATGATGGTAAGACCTCCCTCAAAGGGTTGTTGTGAGAATTAACCAAAATAATGATCCTCACAATGGCAACTCAAGGGTCAAACAGGTGTCTTGTATTTCTTTAACAAACTGACCTCATTTATGTTGTGGGACAGTGATGAATGCAATGCCTGGCACATGGCAGGTGCTCGATAAAGATGTTCAGTGAGCCCGAAGGACAGTGGTTTCAGAGGACCTTTGGGTGGCAGGGTTGCGGCCTTCAGGCCAGCTACTCACTGGCCCCGTGTGTCAGGTGGAGCTGGCCCTGTGGGACACAGCAGGACAGGAAGACTACGATCGACTGCGGCCTCTCTCCTACCCCGACACTGACGTCATCCTCATGTGCTTCTCCATCGACAGCCCCGACAGCCTGGGTGAGGGGATTGCAGGAGGGGACTGAGAACCCTTGGAATCAGCCAGAGGTCTCATGCCTTGGCCTGTCTTCAGTTAACTTCAGAGGTGGGGGCGGGGATGCAGGGGTGGGCTCAGGCCCTGTTGGTCTCCTTTACTGTGGTAGCTGGCCCTCCAAGGGCATAGTATTGTTGAGGTTTTGAGCTGTGAAAGGGACCTCATGCTGAATGGCTTCTAAGACTCTGCTATGGGAAGATGACCCCCCCCCCACCCCCCAGGAGCTTTCTAGCTTAAGTGGAGGCACCAACACCTGTTGGGGCATGTCTGCACAGAAAACATTCCTGAGAAGTGGACCCCAGAGGTGAAGCACTTCTGCCCCAATGTGCCCATCATCCTAGTGGGGAATAAGAAGGACCTGAGGCAAGATGAGCACACCAGGAGAGAGCTGGCCAAGATGAAGCAGGTGGGTGCGGCTGCTGGGCGGGAGCCCTTGGGGAGGAAGGCACCTTCTGAGGGGCAAAGGGAGCTTCTCTCGAGCTACTGCTGTGTGTTAGGGGAGACGGTGATCTCTCCTGGTTAGGGAGGACCCATATGGTTGTGTCATCATTATCTGAGAATGAAGTGACTTGTCCAAAGTCACTTGGCATTTTTATTTATTCCAGCTAATTGTCCATTCTGTTTAGAACTGGGACTACTCAGATGATTAAGAAAATTGGCCCTCAGGGAGACAGCTTATGTTTCAGTACCCAGGCTGTGCCATCACAGTGCCCCTGATACGGGAGTGATGGTGGGCATTGTCTAAGTGGCTGGAAGAAGGGGTGAGACCTGGCTTATTCAGGGACTTGTAAGTGGCTCTCTAGCCAGAGGACTAGAGTTTATTAGAGAAAGCTGTCAGGATAAGAACTGAAGATAATTATAGCAAAGTTTCAAACTGGGGAGATGTTAGGCCTGACTGTTAGGGAAATAATTCTGACTGGAGGAGAGTGAGGATGGAGGCAGAGCAGTCAGTCAGGAGGTGGGAAGCACTCATTCAGGCAGGAGAACTGGGGACTGGCAAGGCTGGATGGGAGCAGAGGGAATAGAGATTTTATCTTTTTTTTTTGAGATGAAGTTTCGCTTGTTACCCAGGCTCTCGAGTGCAATGGTGCGATCTCAGCTCACCGCACCCTCCGCCTCCTGGGTTCAGGCAATTCTCCTGCCTCGGCCTCCTGAGTAGCTGGGATTACAGGCACGCACCACCGTGCCCAGCTAATTTTTTGTATTTTTAGTTGAAACGGGGTTTCACCATGTGGACCAGGATGGTCTCGATCTGTTGACCTCGTGATCCACCCGCCTCGGCCTCCCAAAGTGCTGGGATTACAGGCTTGAGCCACCTCGCCCAGCGGGAATAGAGATTTTAAATCACTGGCCCAGAAGCTGCCCAGGGTAGCTGGGGCCTGGGTGCTTTTTGGGTCAGGGCTGGGGGAGGAGGCATGGGTTCCAGCTGCTACACCTAGGGGTAAGGTGGGAGAGGTTCTTGGAGCCATCAGCTTCCTTTGACTCCTCCTCATCTGTCTTCTCAGGAGCCTGTTCGGTCTGAGGAAGGCCGAGACATGGCGAACCGGATCAGTGCCTTTGGCTACCTTGAGTGCTCAGCCAAGACCAAGGAGGGAGTGCGGGAGGTGTTTGAGATGGCCACTCGGGCTGGCCTCCAGGTCCGCAAGAACAAGCGCCGGAGGGGCTGTCCCATTCTCTGAGGTCCCCAAGGCCTCTCCTACATGCCCCCTCCCTTCACAGGGGTACAGAAATTACCACCCTACACCCCAGCCTCCTGAAGGCTCCATGCTGACGGCTCCCTTCTCAGTTCCCTCCTGCCCAGGACTGCATTGAAGTTTCCCAGCCCCAAGGTGGTGGCGCGGGCCCTCCCTCCCAGTGTTCTGGGAGCCAGGCGTTGCCCTTCCTTAGGGCCCCTGGGGCTTGTGCCCCCTTTCATCTTCCCCGAAGGATGGTCACACACCAGCACTTTATACACTTCTGGCTCACAGGAAAGTGTCTGCGGTAGGGGACCCAAGAGTCCCAGACCCCTGGAGTTGTTTTCGGTAAGGGCCTCGTCTCTGACTGCATTTGGTCAGGGGGGCATGAATAAAGGCCACAGGCTCTAACATGTGGCAGCTTCCTGTCTTTCCCTCTGTGCATGGTGTCCCACCTCTTTTCCTGTCCAAGTTGCTTGCCAGCCTGGCCCCCTATCTGCAAAGCAGGCCAGTTGGCCGGCAGGGTGGAGTCTTAGAGCAAAGGATGAGGTCATGCCTGGCTCTTGGCCGAGGAGGCGGGTGAGGGGAGTGGTCTGTAGCAGGGGCTAAACTTAGAAACCTGTGGGTGGCTTCCCTGCCACCTCCCACTGGGTTTCCTCCCCCTGGGTATGGGGGCTGGGTTCCTTTCCAGCTGGGAGGGGGTGTGACCCTGAGCTGGGCTGACAGTCCCACCCTTCCCTACTGGGTCAGCCTGGGGGCTCAGGAAGCTGGGGCCAGGGAGAAGAGACATTATCAAGGCTTTTGCATAGAACAAGATTTTGTTTTCAGAGTTTTCTTCCTCCCCCCTCCCCCCATTGTTAGCAGCTTGATGTGTCATTCTCCCCAATAGGGGAGGGGGTGGAATGGCTTGGGTTGTAAACTCCCTCCCCCAGTCCTCCTGTCCCTTGGAGGGGCAGCTCAGCTGGGTTCTGGTTCAGGGGCAGGCAGGCAGTTAAGGCTTGGCTGGTGTGAGAAGGCTGGGTGCTGTGTCTTCAGAGCTCATTCCTCCACTCAGGCTCCACTTGCAGGGACAGGCCCCCTTCACCCTCCCGCTCCTGGGGGAGGCAGTCGTGTCCGTGGGGCCCTGGAAAGAAAGTACACTTTGTCTTCCTTACCACCTCCTCCGGCACTGTCCCCAACCTGGCCCGCCCTGGCCCAGCCTTACCTGAGGTAGAGGGGCTGAGCTTGCTCAGACCTTGCAGTAAATTCTGTCCCTGTTGCAGGTCCAGTTTGGCAGGGAAGGGACACCCGGTATACCCCCCGTTTTCTTTACAGAACTCCAGGAATCTGTGGGGTACAGAGGAGTGCCAGCAGAGACTGGAGGCTAAGCCTCAGTCCTGTCCCATCTGGGCTGTACTTGCTCAACCTCTGGATGTCGTTTAACTTACAAATACAATAGGGGTGCTGTGAAAATGAGCACATCTGAGGATTAACTGAGCGATAAGCAAGTGCTTAAACAAGATCCGCCGTGGGCATGCGGCTGTGGCCACCAAGAGGGAGAATGGGGTGGGAATGCTCACACTTTCCAGTCGGGGTCATGGCCCAGGAGAAGGGGGTTGCCCACCACGATGAGCAGGGCCTTGGCCCGGGTCACAGCGACATTGAACCTCTGGAAGGAAGAAGTGGTGTGGTCATGGGCAGGAAGGGCCCCGAGCAGGGAAGAAATCCTGCCAGCCCAACCAGCCCTCAAACCTTGGGGTTCTTCAGGAAACCCAGGTTGAAGTCCAGATCCAGCTGCACAAAGTTCTGGCTGCTTCGCACGGTGGAGATGAGGATGACACTTCGTTCTTGGCCTTGGAATTCTTCCACGGAACCCACCTGTGAGGGCAAGAGGCAGGGCCTGAGACCAGCCAGAGGTGTCAAAGGGGTGTCCTACCCCAGGGAGCCTGACTTCCAAGGAGGGCACAGAGAAGTCACTGGGCAGTTGTAGATCAGTGCAGTAAACAAGTGAGTGCCTCAACACTGCCCAGGGAAAGGGGATACAGAGGGGATGGGAGGTAGGCTGTGGGAGCTGGAACCTGAAGGGTGAATCCCATCGAGGGGGGGGAGTCTGTGAAGTGTTCTTTGGAAAGAAAACAGCATTGCAAGGACCACAGGACTCAGAGCAGTGACTTTCAAACTTTCCTGAAAATAATCACTAAGTATCTGTTAAGAATATACAACCCTGGGCCCTAACCCAGACCCCCTGATCAGAATTTCCAGGAGAGAGGCCTCTGAAGTTTTAAAGCTCTGTTTTTCAACCCTGGCTGCACATTAGAATCACCCGAGAAGCTGTAAAAACTCCCAGTGCCCTGGCTCTGCCCCATAGCTGTATGAGCTGGTGGGCGGGGCCCTGGCAGGGGCAGTGGTATTAAAAGCTCTCCAGGTGATTGTTATCTGCATCCAGTGTTGAGACCACAGCCTTACAGAAAGAGGCTACTGGGGGAGGGGGCGGGGTGACAGCATCACATGACAGGCCACGGAGTTTGGACTTTATCCTTAGGGCAGAGGCCGCTAATCTGCCTGAGTCTGAGAATGACAGGAGGTGCTTGTTAAACATGCAGGCTTCCTGATCCCATCCCAGACCCTTAAGCTGGAATCTTCGGGAGTGCGAAGCTTGGGGAGAGCTCAGCTCCACTCAAGGCAGCAGGGGTGGGATGGGGATGTGGGCTGGACTGGAGCGGAAGCTTGAGGAAGTCTCTAGAAGTGGGCGGGTCGGGGCACACAGAAGGCAAGGAGTAGAGTATGGAACAGCCTGTCACCTTCAAGTCCTTGATGTCATCCAGTCCTCGAAGCTCCCTGTCAAGTTTGGTGATGCAGTAACGGATTTTCTCCACCTGGAAGGAGGGGACAGGTGCTTTTCTCATGCCATTAACCTAATGCAAGAGGGAGCCTGGCAGGAGGGAGCTGGGGAACAAAGGGAGGGCAGCTGTCCTCGGTGCTCTTCTGAGATAGGGAGCCAGCAGAGGCCGGAGCTCCAAAAGCCTCTGCCTAGTAGTCGGGATATTAAGGAAGGGCCCTCTGGGGGAGGGGTCCCACCCTTGCTGGTAACCGAGGACCTGACCTGTTTCCGGTATGGGGAGATGACGCCCACGCTTCGGGGGCTCAGGCGGGCTTTGCCCTTCTTGGAGGAGGGGGCCAGGAGCAGCTTCAGGTAAGAAGTCACTGTGGCAGCCTCTTCAGGGTTGAAGAAGGATGGGCTATTGCCCTCACGCTCATCTTTGCCCATTACGCCATGAAAGATGATGGGAAAGCCCTGGACACGGGGTCAGGGGAAACCCTCAGCCAGACCACCCTCTCTATACCCTCCCTTCCCAAACCCTTCCAGAAAATAACAGATCCCAGGCCAAGGTGACAAAGGGAGGGGGCTGTACCTTCAGTGGGAGGGAAATCAGGGTATGAGGTGGGGGCCTGTGCCCCTGCCCTGCTCAGCCTCACCTGTCGAGGCAGGCCTGCCCAGCGGCAGAAGCGTTCTCGATCAACAACGTCAGCACAGGCCTGCAGCTCCCCTTCATAATAGAGCTGGTTAGGAATGTCCAGGATGGTGGGATGAGACCTGGGAGGCAGGAGGAGGAAGGAAGAGCAAGGCCAAGGGTCGGATTCCCCCTGCCCCACAGGGGCCCCGCTCTACCCACTCTGGGCTCACACACATTAACCTTCTGTCCCCCTGGCTTCCTGGACAGCAGGACACTCATCCATAATATCTGCTGCCAGGCACTGTAAACCACAGAAAACAGAACCAAATACGGTCCCAAAGAGCATCTAGTCCAAGGACTTCGCAGACCCATGACATTTAAAACTAAAAAATTACAGGCCCATTGTCAGGTTTCAAATTTACCAAGGACAGTATGAAACCAAATTCTTCTTGACTACCGCTGTTATTTGATGCGACAGTGTGTTAAATCCAAAAATATAAGTCATGATGACACAATAGCTAACATTTATTAAACTCTTAGTGACAGCCTAAAACTCAACTAAGCATTTTCGATGGCTGAACTCATTCACTGAAAGTATACAGCACTTTAATCTGAATACCAATAAGTTTATGAAAAAACTGTATCTTCCTTTTTTTTTTTTTTGAGAGGGAATCTTGTCTGTGGCCCAGGCTAGATAGAGTGCAGCGCCACGATCTCAGCTCACTGAGACCTCCACCTCCTGTGTACAAGCAATTCTCCTACCTCAGCCTCCCGAGTAGCTGGAATTACAGGCCCCCACCACTACACCCAGCTGATTTTTGTATTTTTAGTAGAGATGGGGTTTCACCATGTTGGCCAGGCTGGTCTCAAACTGCTGACCTCGAGTGATCTGCTCACCTCAGCATCCCAAAGTGCTGGGATTACAGGCATGAGCCACTGTGCCCAGCTTCCTCCCTATTTTCCTTATTTCTCCTTGGATTGCCTGAAAACTTCATCTGGGACTGGTACAAGACACATCCTAGCCTCTAAGAACCACTGACCACCCCTTTAGATGCACATAAACCAACTGGTATAGTATGAAACCACTGGCTACGTCACGCAGACAAGCAGCAGTGCTGGGGCTTAAAAGGAGACCTCCTACCTTCCGGGTTAGTCTTTCTGCATCACACAGTCTCTGGGCAACAGGACTGCAAGCCAGACTCTCCAGCAGGGGCTGCTGGGTGTGAAGCATGGGATACAGCAGGGGATGCAAGGGCATGGGAATACCTGTAGTTTCGTAGCAGCTTGGTTATGAACTGGGGGTCATAGCCATCAGGGCCCTTCTTGTACAGGGAGTTATAGGTGAGCAGCCGCTCCAGCAGTGAGTACCCCAGCCCATGCTTCTGGGTCAGTGGGGAACGCAGCACAGGCCCCAGCTGCCGAGGGTCTCCTGCCAGCACCAGCTGCCCTCCTGGATTGCCTGTCTCCTTTACTTCCATCAGCCCTGGGAAGCAGAAGAGGTGTGGGGAAAAAGGTAAGTGGTGCAGCCTCTCTGACCTCACACAGGGTGTACACTTGCAGCCCCACCTGAGTCCCTCACCTGCTATAGCTACCAGACTCTCAGGCTCCATGCAGTGGCCAGCCTCATCGATGAAGATGTGTGTGAAGTGATCAATGGGAAACTGGGCCGAGACCAACCTGGGAGGTGTCAGGCCAGGCAGGGGTCATATCCAGACACCCAGCTACCAAACCTGAATGCTTTCCCAGGCTGGCTCCTCATCCCACCACCCCCCAGAAACCATTCTTCCCCATCTCCCAGCCTGTTACCCCTTTAGTTAAACTTACGATTTAGAGACACAACCACACACACTCCCCACCTGCCAGCCGTGATGAGGGTGGTAATTAAGACCCGGTATTCCTGCAGCTTCTTCTTGGCGGGAAAAACATACTCCCCCTTCTTTGCATCCCAGTTGCAGCAGGGCTGTGGATTGTGAAGGGACCATAGGAATCAGCTTGGCTCCACTCATTCCCACCCAGACTCCGGCTGTGGGCCCCCAGATACTTGTTTTTATTTCTATTTTTTATTGAGGCGGAGTCTCGCTCTGTTGCCCAGACTGGAGTGCAATGGCGCGATCTCGGCTCACTGCAACCTCCGCCACCTGGGTTCAAGCAATTCTCGTGCCTTAGCCTCCCGAGTAGCTGGGACTACAGGCATGTGCCACCACACCCAGCCAATTTTTTTGTATTTTTAATAGAGACAGCCTCACCATGTTGGCCAGGCCGGTCTCAAACTCCTAATCTGCCTCAGCCCCCCAAAAGTGCTGGGGTTACAAGTGTGAGCCATGGCACCTGACCCCCCCAAACGTTTTATCCACTTCCTCACTTACAAACTGAGGCCCTGGGAGGGTCCTGACCAACCCAAGGCCACACAGCAAGTATCAGAATCCAGATCTCCTAGCTTCCTGGCCTCCCCAGCATTCGCCGTTCTTTGGCCCTCTGCACTTCCCTAGTACCTTAATGTCCTCAGGTACCATGCGGATGTCCCTGCTGGGGGCCAGGAGGCGGTAGATGGAGCTGGGAAGGTGGACCCGGAGCCTCTGACAGAGGAGGTCGGCCCCTGAGTTGGATGGAGCGCAGGCCAGGATGTGGGCTTTGGGCAAGTGCTTCACCACCTGAGATACAGATACGCGCAGTGAGGGAGGCAGGTTCCTGAGACTTGGCCGTACTCAGGCTGGGGCGGTGCAAGCCTCTGATGACTGAAATGTGAATGGTGACTCCAAGAGTCACGGAGTGCCCTACCTGTGCAACAGTGCTCCACAGCAACGTTTACCCTAACTTCGTACTCCCCAATCCCCCCTGCCTTTTTTTTTTGAGACAGAGTCTCACTATGTCACCCAGGATGGAGTGCAGTGGCACCATCGCAGCACACTGCAGCCTCAAATACCCAGCTAATTTTTTTATTTTTTCATAAAGACAGTCCAAGCTGGTCTTGAACTCATCGGGCTAGGCCTCCCCAAGTGCTGGGATTACAGGCATGAGCACTGCAGGGGAGTGGGAATGAACCAGGCTTGGTGCTGGGGGAGTCACAGTGCAGGCCCCAGGTTTGTGCTCAGGCCCCACCTGCTTAATGGCCTCCACTAATGTGACGGTCTTGCCGGTGCCTGGAGGCCCAAAGATGATGTAGGGAGCTGGACGGGTGGTGCCCATAACAATGTGCCTCATGGCCTGCAACTGTTCTGGGTTTGACTCCAGACTCCGGTCGTACAGCCTGGCAGAGGGACCAGGAATGGGAACTTGAAGTCATCCAGTGACCCCGAGGCCTCCCCAACTCCTTCCCCTGTGCCCACGCGCCAAGAGGCTCCCTGCCCACAGTCTCACTTGAGTTTCACATCCGAGGGCAGCAGCGGGACGTCTCGAGATGCCACAGGAAAGAGCATGGGCCAAAGCAGCCAGCGCCCTGTCAGCTCCAGGGCGCGGTGCTGGACTCGCAGGGGTTGGCGGTTGAAGGTGAAGTTCACCTTGAAGGTCAGCCCATCTACGAAGCGGCTCAGGAGGCTTTGGGCAGAGGTAGGGAGGGAAGAATTTGTTGTGAGGGGGAAGTGGGCAATAAAGGGTCAGAACCTTCTCCATCAACCACCGTCCCAACCACGTTCCAAGACCTCACAGCAAAGCTCTCTACAAGAGGAAGCCACTGTGGCATCTCAGAATACCCCTGAAGAAAAGTTCCCTGCTCTGCCCTTGGGGTCTCATTTATCTTAGGGAGAAACACTCCTCCTCCCCTGGGGTGAAAAGCCTGTAGATCCTTCCGGCAGCTCAGGGTTCACCCAACACCCACCTCATGGAAAAGCTCAGCTTGACACGGTCCAATTCCACCTTGTGCACAAAGCCCTTATAAGTGATGGGGTCCTCCTGGTGTGTCTCCGAAGACAAAATGGCAAACAGGTGGTCACCCCGTAGCACTGAGGGGCGGCTCTCGGTCACCCCAGGAACCTATGGGGCATGAACACAAGCTTCTATCCCAGGGAAGGACGCTGGAGGGCCCAGCCCCTAGGTTCTCCAGACCTCTAAGGGACAAGGACTGAGACTCGCCTTCTAACCTAAGGCTCAGGGAACTATGCTATCCCTACACCTCTCTCTCCTTTCATGCCAGCCAGAGCAGGAGTCAGGGAAACAGAAAACAAATCTTCCAAAGCTGCACAGAGGTGCCGAGCCCAGGAACCCGGAGCCTCCAGTGCAGCTGCCCCTTGGCCAGCTCAGTTCCTGTTCTGCCTGTAAAAATCCTGTTCCTCAGCTAATCGGGTTGCTAAAAAAAAAATAAATAACAACAACAGAAAACAAGCCAAGCATGGTGGCTCACGTCTGTAATCCCAACACTTTGGGAGGCTGAGGCAGGCAGTCACTTGAGTCCAAGTGTTTGAGACCAGCCTGGCCAACATGGCAAAACCCCATCTCTACACAAAATACAAAACTTAGCTGGGTGTGGTGGGGCGGGCCTGTCTTCCCAGTAACTCGGGAGGCTGAGGTGGGAGATCCCTTGAGCCCAGGAGGTGGGGATTAAAGTGAACCAAGATCATGCCATTGTACTCCAGCCTGAGCACCAGGGTGAGATCCTGTCTCCAAACAATTGAAAACATAAAATAAAATCTTAGCTGGGCACAGTGGCTCCTTCCTGTAATCCCAGCTACTCGGGAGGCTGAGGCAGGAGAAGCGCTTGAACCTGGGAGGCGGAGGTTGCAGTGAGCTGAGAACACGCCATTGCACTCCAGCCTGGGCGACAGAGCAAAACTTTGTCTCAAAAAAAAAAAAAAAAAAAAATCTTGTTCAAAACTCCCACTCTCTGCAGTCATCTTTCCTTGATCAAACTCACCCTGTCATTCCCACCTGCGCTTGTGTATGGAAATCCATTCTCTTGTGTAATTTTGGGCTTATATACACACATTCAAAATCCAAGAGCTAGAAAGAGTTCTAAGAATTATCCAGTCCTGCTCTACGCTTTTCAGATAAGGGAACTAAGCCTCAGAGAAAGCAAGGGACTTACCCAAGGTGGTAGCGAAGCCTGGACCAGAACCCAGATCTTCCCCATGCCCCTGCTCAGACACCTTTGGGCACAGGATGCCCACCCGGCTTCTTTCGGAGGCCTGGGAACCACTTCAACCTTCCTCCTGTTCTGCCCTGCTGTCAGGAATAGTTCTGCCCACAGCCTGTAGCTTGGCTGACTTGAGCCCACCCTCCTCACACTCAATCTGAGCCCTGACCTCCAGCGTGAGCAGCCTGGGGTTCTGGTCCACGGGGTCCCAGGTCATGGGCACCGACTCCAGGTCATAGTGCCGGATATCATGCTCCATCTGCAGCTCCTCCAGGTGCAGCAGCAGCCGCAGCTTCACCTCATAGTTCCTCCACTTCAGGGCTGTCTCCAGCTGGGCCCTGGAAATGATGGTTGGAGGGGTGGGGTGGGGCGGCAGGAATGTGACGGGCCAGACCACCCCTATGACCAGGAGTATGCACCTTCTCCCACCTGAAGCTCTGGAACTAAGAAAGCATCAACAAACAGAGAAGACTAGAGGGACAGAGAAGTGTGTGAGCGTCAGAGGCCCTGAAGAAGGGAGCCTTGGCTCCTGCTCCCTTGGATATCCCTGCCCCCACATCACCCAACTCGTATTTGCATGGTGGCTCTTATGGCCAGAACATTCTCCCCCAGATTCTCTAACTTCCACCCTTACCTCATTCAAATGTCCTTCTCTGTTTGAACATGACCTCCTCACACAGGCCAGGACTAACTGCCTTCCGCAAAGCAGCACCAACCCATCCCCTAACCCGGCTTTGGTTTCAGCGTAGTTCCTTTTTTCTTTTTTAGAGACAAGATCTTGCTATCACCCATGCTGGAGTGCAGTGGCATGATTTTGGCTCACTCACTGTGGCCTTGACCTCCTGGGCTCAACGAATCCTCCCATCTCAGCCTCATAAGTAACTGGGAGTACAGACATGTGCCACCACACTTGGCTAATTAAATTTTTTTCGTAGAGACAAAATCTCACTATGTTGCCCCAGGCTGGTCTTGAACTCCTGGGCTGTTCAGATCCACCTGACTTGGCCTCCCAAAGTGCTGATTACAGGCATGAGCCACTTGCACGTGACCTGTTCAGTTCTTCATAGCACTCATCACTCGATGAAATTCTAACAAAAATGCTCATTGTCCCCCCGTTAAAATCAGCCAGGCCTTCATTTGACTGGTTCATCTTGAATAGTGCTTGGTGTATGTATGGTGCATGCTCAGTAAGGGAATGAATGAACAGAGCCTGAGAGGCTGAGGGTGGAGCTGCCAGGGCAATGCAAAGAAGCCAACAGGGCAAAGACGGGTGCAGAGGAATAGTACTTACTTGATCTCAGCGATCTCCTTAGGGGCAGTGAAGATACTTCTTCCCTGAAGAAGCATGGGGAGCAGCTGCCTGAGGCGGGGAGGTGGGTAGTATGTCCCCAGCGCCATACTTAACTCCAGGTCGTAGCCTTTACCGCTGCAGAATTGAGGGAAGGAAACACAGAAAACCCCTCACCCTCCAAGACTCTGAGAATGCCCCTCTGGGGTACACACAGCATAGGATGCACAAAGCCCTTCTGCAATCCTGCTGAAAGAAGTCAGCAGCCTTGCTCCTAGGTGGGACCATTCTCATTTTGGGAAAGTGCAATACTTGGAAACCTTTAAAACTATTATATAATAAATATTCATTAGAGAAAAAAATCAGATAACAGGTAATAAATATCATTCTTATGATCCACGGATAACAAATGTTAACTTCCAGACTTTTTTCCCTTTAAACTTCGGTGATACATATATATTGCCACCAAAAAGAGCACAATGGTCTGTGAAGGTCCTATTATAGTCTGCTTTTTTTTTTTTTTTTAAAGACAGTGTCTCACTCTGTCGCCCAGGCTGGAGTACAGTGGCATGATCTCAGCTCACTGCAAACTCCGCCTCCGGGGTTCAAGCAATTCTCCTGCCTCAGCCTCCTGAGTAGAGTAGCTGGGACTACAAGAGTGTGCCACAATGCCTGGCTAATTTTTGTATTTTTAGTAGAGATGAGGCTGCACCATGTTGGCCAGGCTGGTCTCGAACTCTTGACCTGAAGTGATCTACCTGCCTCAGCCTCCCAAAGTGTTAAAATTACAGGCGCGAGCCACGTGCATGGCTAGTTTGCTTTTATAACTATTTTGTGAACATCTAGCAAAAAACAAAAAGAGATGTCTGCACATAACCAATGCTTCATCCATATGAAGTGTCCAGCACAGAGAAATCTACGGAGACAGGAAGTAGATGAGCAGTTTCTTAGGGCTGAACGAAGTGGTAGGGGATAAAAGGATCATAGCTTTTTACGGACATGAAATGTTCTAAAACTGACGGTGGTGATGGTCACACAGATCTGTGAATATACTTTAAAAATTACTGAATTCTGTACTTTAAATGGGTGAACTGTATGGTATGTGAATTATCTCAACACAGCTGTTTAAAAAAACAGATGTCTACAATGATTTGCCTGATACTCCATCACACTGGGACAACGCCCACAATTTTCTTCACACTACCCTGAGATCTGCAGTTCATCTGCAACTGTCTTCCTTGACAGAAAAATTCTCTGAAACCCAGAAGAGTGAAGAGCCTGCAGGAAAGGGGGCTCTGGCTCCCAGCTCTGTGCTCCTTCCAAAGCCCTCGCCCACGCGGTTGGGATCCGAGCCCAGCCAGGGCTGAGCTGCAGGGAGGAGTTACCGGTCAGGTCTCTCTCCTTCCTCTACCCGGTTGGTCACCACAGGGTTCCCGGTGATCCGGGTCCGCTTGAAGGGAGTCACGGGCTTCAGCTGTGCAGCCAGGGGGCTGTGAGCGACGGCAGCCAAGAAGCGGGCAATGTAGAATGTGCCGGCTCCTTCTGAACCCGACTCCCCAGGTCCCAGCAGCTCCCAGAGCACTGTGGCTGGGAAGTAGCCCACAAAGCTGGTCTTACAATGGACATGGAGTTCATAGCATTCACCTGGAGGAGGATGGATGAATGAATGGCGGTGGGAGTCCCACACGTTTCCTTATCCTGGACACTCCCCCAGGCAGCCCCGTCCCAAGGCAAGAGTCCACCAGACAGCGCCGGTGCTTCCCAAAGCACCAGCACTGCCTGGGACAAGCCCCTCTCCACCAGCCATTTCCTCTGGAAACCCACTCACCGGGGCCCAGTGGACAGGGCAGCTCCTGGTCTTCATTGTAGAAAGCAAACTGGGGTGTCCGGCAGAGTGGGAAGAGGTGAGTGAGGGTGACAGACTGGGTTCCGCCATTCCGAAGCCTCAGGGTCAGCACCTCTTTGCGGTTCAAATCCAGGCGGATGAGGAGCTGCCCGTCTCGGGCTTCATGGGGCCCCTGGACTTCCACATCCACCCCGTGTTTCCCGTGAAGATACTCAGACCTGGGGAGAAGGGGAGTCAAGGCGGAGCTGGGGTGGGCGCGGTCTGGACTGGGGAGTTACCCTGGGGAAAGTTTTAGGCTTGGGAGGCAGGCAAAGTGCCAGCTGTGTTCAGCAAGCTCGCCTCCTCCCCGAAGGCCAATTCCCCGCCCTTCCCCCACTCCCTGGAGGAGGGGGACTTCCTCCCACTTGTGCGACCCACTCTGTCCTCAGACAGCCCCTTCCCTCACACCCTGCAGGCCTCCGTGCCCCAGCACACACACCTGTCATAGAAGATCTTGGCTAGCAGTGACTTGTGGTGTTTGCTGATATCTGACCCCAGCTTCATTCTCCTCTTTTCTGGCAACCGCACGTCGGCCCAGCGGTCGAGTCTGAAGAACCTGACCCGAGTCTTGGTGACGTAGGCCAGATTTGCAATCTTCATTCCATACAGCATGGAGGAGAAGCCAGGGGCGGGGGTCCCAAAGCTGCCAGAAGCAGAGGAGACTGGAAAGTGAGGCAAGGCAGGGCCTGCAGGAGGCAGGGCGGCGGGTGGGGAAGGGCGTCGGAGGGTCACTCTGTGCTGGACACACCAGCCCTGCTGTGGAGCAGGATGGGGCCCAGAGACAGAGAGACACAGGCTCGGGATCGGAGGAATGTTTCATGTTTTAAGGGAAGGCAATGCGACCTCCCAAGGCAAAATACAGTTGTTTTAAACAGTGGGTTCTGGATTGTTCATTTCTGAGGGGAAAAGCCCAATCACAGGCTGCTGACTGGAAGGACCGAGGGAAAAGAGAGAAAGACATAAAGTTCTTTTTGTGGGGGAAACTGTTTGGGACAGAAAAGAAAATACAAACAACTCAGAAGAAAGAGCTGAGGCTAAGGGGAAGCGGAATGAGTTGATTCAGAGGGGTGCATGTGGGTTCCAGCCCGTTGGTGAGGAGAGAAGGGATCAGAGACAGTACAGATGTCCACGTGTGTGGGCAAGGTGGCTGATCAGACAGCAGTTTCCACCCGAAGTCATAGGGTGCAGGTGGAACCCAAGCAGGAAGGGAAAGGATCCTTCTCCAGAGATCAAATAGCCTGGCTTTGTGCCTAGAGAAGGTGAAGACAGGGAAAACTGGTCAGAAGGACAATAACCTCAAGGCTCAGCGCCTGGAGTTCAGTTCAGTCAATTCAACAAACACTTACAGAGGCCTGTTATGTGCCAGACACTGTGCTGGATGCCGGGGGTTCAAAGATGCAAGAGACTCAGCGCTTGCCTCGAGGAGCACACAGACTGAACACATACATTCCAGCATGGTGCCCAGAGGGCAGCTCATCGGCCACAGAGGGGCTCAGTGCCACGGAGGGACACCGAGCCCAGTCTGGGGGCAGAGGAGGTGTCCACGAAGGCTTCCCCAGGAGGCAGCATAAGAACTCGGTCCTGAGGATGAGTGGGCATTACCTGGGCACAAGAGAGTGCAAAGCGTGAGCAGATGTGAGGAGTATGCAAGAACGTGTGCTGGTACGGGCGGAGGGGTTGCCCCCTTGACAACTCTAGCCAGGTCAGCTCAGGTGACCGCATCTCTCAGAGCCTCACTTTCCTCCCCTATAAAACTGGAGGAAAGCGAGACTTACCTCGTAGGGTTGTTATGAGGTTCCAATGAGATTCTGACACAGCAGAGAACCACTGAGCCAGTGCTTGGCACATAGGAGACCTCAGTAAGGGTGAGCCATGATTAGTATCACATACAGTTTCATTGTGCTAGAGTGAAATGCACAAGGAGGGGAGTGGCAGGAGGAGCAGAGGTGGGCAGGGACCAGCTCATGGACAGTTTTGCATACCAGGCCAAGCCTGGACTTGACCCTTGAATGCCTGCAGTCCTTTTCCCCGCTCTACTGATACCCAGGAGCCTGAGGACATTCCCATGTGCAACATACTTCAGGGACACATTCAAAATCTAGACTCTGACTCAGATTAAGAGGCCCTCTCTTAAAAGCAAATCTTTGTTTATGAGAACTATGGTAATCCCTATTTAACTTTTAAGGCTAAATCGGCATGGACACTCACTAGGGTATATGGTAAGATCATTTATGGTTATGAAGATTTTTCAGGTGCCCCTGCCTGTAACTCTGCCCCTCTCCTTCACCCCAAACAAATGAGACCGGTACAATTTGGAAAACGTTGAATTGGCTATGATTTGTTTTAAGAAGGTAATAAATCATTGGAAAGCATAATAGAAAATGCTCGGTAAATGTTAGCTACTATTATTAGTATTTAGATTAGTAGAAATAGTAGTACTAATAGTAGCAGTAGTATAGGAGCAGTAACAACTTACTTTCAGCCCACGTCAGAGGCTACAGCGTGGTTACAGAACCACTGCGGTTGGTGGGTTTTAAGCAGGGGAGTGGCAAGATCAGATTTGCATTTCAGATCACTCTGGCATCAGGATTGGAGGATGGATTTGCTGGAGGCAAGATTGTAGGCAGGGAGACCAGTTAGAAGAAGGCCCTTGCAATTTTCTAGTGAAAAGATAACAAAGGCAGGAGGCAAGGCAGTGGTGGAGATAGAAGGAGAGCAGCAAGATTTGCTAATACTTAGGATGTAAAATTAGCCGAATTTGGTGACTGACAGAAGTGGGAATGAAGGCTGGGAAGAGGGAGGAGTCTAGGATCCCCAAATCAGTGGCCTGGCTTGTAGGACTATCTCTGAGATGGATGTAAGACAAGAGGAGGAGAGGCTGGAGGGACTGACCATGACATTTGGATTTGGATATGCTAGGTTTGAGATTCCTGTGGTCCAGGCAACCAGCTCCACAAGTCAGAAGCTGAGAACTCAGACCAAAGTCAAGGTTACAGCCTAGTATTAGGGAGTCCTCAGGTAGTGGTTATAATCAAGGAAGTGTAGGAATCTCCCCAGGAGTGTGAGTAGTTGAGAGCAGCTACTAGACAACCCAGGGAGGAAGGGAAAACAAGAAACCCTCAAGAGAGAAAGGAGAATGAGCCAAGTCTCAAAACCAGGTGTCAGGATCAAACACTGCTGAGGGGTCCAGTAACAAAGGGACTGAACTAGGAGATTATCAGAAACTTTCGCAAGGGCCCCTTAGAGTCGATCGAAGTCCCACGGATCGAAGCACAAGCTAATGCTGACAGCAGCTAGGCTCCACAGGTGTCTTGACACTTGCAGCCCTCCCAGACACCAGTTCAGTCCCATTTTGGAGAGTCACTAGTGTAAGAACACTGCATGCATATCCCTCGCAACTCTAAGAAAACAAGAGTGCAGCCTCCAAGAAAAGTGGCTCCAGGCTCCCAGATCAATGCCGGGCAGAAAGAGGGCTTTGTGGAAACTGAAGAAACTGGGAAGGGCATCCCCTGTCTGAGGGCGTAACTGCTCATCTCCAAACGGGGCCAGCAGGGACTGCAGGCCTAAGATGGCGAGATCTGACTTTCTTTCTTTCTTTTATTTTTTTAAGAGACGAGTTCTCGCTATGTTGCCCAGGCTGGAGTGCAGTGGCTATTCACAGGTGCGATCCCACTGCTGATCAGCACGGGAGTTTTGACCTGCTCCGGTTCACCCCTCCTTAGGCAACCTAGTGGTCCCCCGCTCCCAGCAGGTCACCATATTGATGCCGAACTTAGTGTGGACACCCGACTGGCATAGTGCACCACAGCCCAGAACTCCTGGACTCAAGCGATCCTCCAGCCTCAGCCTCCGCCTCCCGAGTAGCTGGGACTACAGGCACATGCCACTGCACCTGGCCAGATTTGACTTTCAAGACAAGACAAAATCAAAATTTTAATATGAAACCTCCTATTTTTGGAAACCTGCCTAGCACGAGGGCAGGCAGAACTCATATCTACAAATTTTCCAAATTCTGTGGATGCTATCCCCAAATTATTTCTCAAATTATTCTCAATGTCTGTTACCACTATTCCAATTCACATAACATTGGTTTAGGTGACAGTCATACAAAAATTTCTTTAAAAACATCACAAACTTATTATATTCTTGTCAAAAAAATACAATCCTTGTGTTATACATGTAATCCCCTATATTTCTATTTTTTGAGACGGAGTCTTGCTCTGTTGCCAGGCTGGAGTGCAGTGGCGAGATTTTGGCTCACTGCAACCTCCGCCTGGGTTCAAGCCATTTACCTGCCTCAGCCTCCTGAGTAGCTGGGACTACAGGCGTGTGCCACCCCCCCACCAGCTAATTTTTGTATTTTTAGTAGAGACAGGGTTTCACCAGGTTGGCCAGGATGGTCTCAATCTCTTGACCGCGTGATCCACCTGTCTCAGCCTTCCAAAGTGCTAGGATTACAAGTGTAATCCCCTATATTTCTTTTTTTTTTGAGACAAAGTCTCACTCTTGTCCCTCAGGCTGGTGTGCAACGGCGCGATCTCGGCTCACTGCAACCTCCGCCTCCTGAGTAGCTGGGATTACAGGCACATGCCACCACACTCGGCAAATTTTGTAATTTTAGTAGAGATGGGGTTTCACCATGTCGGCCAGGCTGGTCTCGAACTCCTGACCTCAGGTGATCTGCCCGCCTCAGTCTCGCAAAGTGCTGGGATTACAGGAGTGAGTCACCGCGCTCAGCCAATCCCCTCTATTTCTAAGAAAAACTTTGTAACCAAGACTGGAAACCTGCAGCTATAAAAGAAAATAAGGTCAGGTGTGGTGGCTCATGCCTGTAATCCCAACACTTTGGGAAGCTGAAGTGGGAGGATTGTTTGAACCCAGGAGTTTGAGACCAGCCTAGGCAATATAGTGGGAGAAAAAAAAGGTGTGGTGGTGCGTGCCGGTAGACCCAGCTACTCAGGAGGCTGAGGCAGAAGGATCCCTTGAGACCAGGAAGTCAAGGCTGCAGGAGCTGTCATCAGGCCACTGCACTCCCGCTTGGTTAACAGAGCTTGGGTAACCCTGTCTCTAAAAACGAAAAGGAACATTTCTGACTAAAAAATATTTTGTCTGGAAAGAGGTAATATAAACAAATTCAACAGATAAATATTCATAATCTAGATGACAGGCAAAGGGCTAATTTTTATAATATATAAATTTTCTTAGAAACACAAGATGAACAATTCAACAGAAAAATTGAATATTCAATTAAACGAACAGATCCAGATGGCCAAAAGAGTATGAAAAACTGCTCCAAATGTAGACAAATGCAAATTAAAGTATAAATGAGATATCATTTTATTCCTATTAGACTCACAAAAATCAACATAGTTCTAACATATACTGATATCAAGGGTATGTGGAAAAGTAAACTCATAAATTGCTGGTAGAAGAGTCAAGTATTACCATCTTTTAGGAAAACAATCTGACAATATCTACAGATATTTAAAATACAGGTATCCTTTAAAACCCAGGGACTTGGCATGGTGGCTTATGCCTGTAATCCTAGCACTATGGGAGGCTGAGGTGGAAGGATCACTTGAGCCCAGGAGTTTGAGATCAGCCTGAGAAACACAGCAGATCCCTGTCTCTACAAAAAAATTT